TTGGTGTATTTCCTCTAGATGTTTAATTTAGACATATTTTACTTTCAATAATAAATTGCAGGAAGATAATGGATGGATGGATATTTGCTTTAAAAGCTTCTTTTTTCTCCTTTTAAATTTTTCTGGATAGGAGCGTACCTGAAACATGAAAGGAGCACCTGCATTCCCACGAGGCAACACTTCCAGACCATTTGTCTTCAAGGTCGGTTTGTTTTACAGACTGGTAATCCTTTTAAACCATTGACTGACTCCTCGACGACACACTGAGTGTAAAAGCACGAAAACTGCGCAAAGCGTCAGTTTTATCTCAAGTTCTCAAAACTCAGTTTTGATCAGTCACAGTGCAACAAACGAAACTACTGCGTTCACTAAACAAATGCAAATTAACTCTTTAAACTCCTGCTAAAACAGAAAAACTAGAGCACAGAAGTACCACGCTGTTGAAATGACACAGTATATTTACTGATAAAGAACAGTGTATTTAATGTCAATTAAAGGTGCACGAATTGATGGTGGTTTTAACTTTCTGCTGGCTCAGACGTGATCCTGTTTCACCTTTACAGGCAGCAGTGTTTCCTTCAGCAGCTGTCAACGCATTCAAGCTGCAGCTGTTCTTATTCTGACAGAAATGTCACTATAAAAGTCAACACGGATGCTGTGTTTCACCAGAACCACCAAATATGAACAAAGACGTTTATTCCCAGGCTGTGAGACTGAATAAAATGAGCGCTGCTGAAGAAAATGGACTAAAGCTGCAGATCTTCAGCGTGCATGAGACGGCTCGTGTCTTGAGTTTATGAAAGCACAACATCATAAAATAGTGATGTGGTTTGTGCATTATAGAGAAGAGAAACTGCACGGAGTTGCAGAAGAAGAGGAAAACTGATCAGGTTACAGAGTTATGAGTAAAACCCGGCAGGTTTGATTAAATAAAAATTAATCAGATCATTTTTCAGCACTTATACATATATTTGATAACGGTAAATAGAGCCATGCTGGCTACAAAGTGACATATATTTGATAAACTACAAAGTTTTTTCATCAAGGTTCATGCTCAATAATCCAGGTACAAAATAATCCAACAATGCTCAGTCAGGTCATCTGGGCTGTTTCTCTTTTTTGTTGAGACGTTTCGTCTTTCATCCAAAGGACTTCATCAGACCGAGGAGCCACAAATAAACTGAGTCCCACAAGCAGCACTCACATATTAGACCAACCAGTTTGCTGATGATAAGATGGTTTCTGGAGTCCGCCCTCTCCCCTGTCGACTCCTCTGAGGCAGCCATAGCCACAGCGGTTCAAAACATCAAAGTTCATGCGCAATAATCCAGGTACAAAATAATCCAACAATGTTCAGTCAGGTCATCTATAAGAGTGTGCTGCTTGTGTGACACAGTTTGTTTGTGGCTCCTCAGATTGATGAAATCCTTTGGATGAAAGACGAAATGTCTCTCAACAACAATTAAAAAAAAACAAAAAAACATCCAGACTGAACTTTGCTGGATATAAAGCTTTTTTTTTTTTTTTTTTTAAATCCGTTAATCCTGAAAAGAAACTAAACCAAAGATGTTTTCTCACTTTGAGCTTGTTGAAAGTGAAGTCACACCAGAGACTCTTGGGCCTTCGGGATGTGATTTCTGGATGTTTTGTCTTGTGTGTTGTCATAAAGATTGACAAATAAGATTGTTAAAAGAAAAGTGGCTGTAGTTGTTTATAAAATGTATCTTTATTTGGTTTCCTCACACTTGTTAGTTTTATTCCAACAGACTCCTCGGCCGTCAGAAACAATTATATCTGTCACTGTTTTGCCAGATAAATTCTAACTGTCCAATTTTCTTTTTACCTATAATACTTCCTGATTGCTTAAGTTTTTAAAGAGCAGTTAGAGTCTGTAATTAACTTGGAAACATTTTTGAAAACCACCATGATAAAAGTCTGATTTAACTGGATGCAACTGAAAAAAAGGACGATGGGCGCTGAAGAGGAGGAAACAACAAACTGACCAGAGAAGCAGGAAACAAGAGAACAATGAAGAAAATCAAACATGATGGAACATCAGAATAAAGACAAACAACAGAACTGATTCATATTCCAAACGAGAACATTTGCTCACGTTTTTCATCCCCCCCCTGAGGATCATCCTGATCAAACATGTTTTTAACCCATTTTCACTGCAGCCAATAGTTTAAAGTGGGAGAACAGAGGAGTGTGTGTGTGTGTGTTTTCTCCCTGCAGGAATTACTCCAAGATAAGATTCAAAAAAGGTACCGCCTGAATTTCAGCAGAGAAAACTGAACATTTTGTGCACCGAAAACCCAAAATGTGTCTGGGCAGAAACTCTGAATAAATAAATTAATCAAGTTTGCTCCTGTCAGTGTTGCTGTTTTAAATTAAACTGTTCTTTGACACAAACGCATTGTGTGATTTCATTTAAGCAACGTGAATGCAAATAAACTGGGCTATTTTTTTTTTCTAAAATTATGAACTTTTGCTGATTTTGTTCAATTTGAAGCATCGAAGTGAAACGAAGCAGACAAGTAAACAATTTAAATGAGCTGTAAAGATTGTTGTGCAGTTTTATAATATTAAGTAAACATAACTGCCTTGTGGCGGATTTTTTTTCCCCTCCCTACATTTTTTATTTGTGCATTAAGTTTATAATATATATTTTTTTAACATGATAATTTGTTTGATCTTATTTTATTTTATTTTATTTGGTATGGACTACTTTTTGTCTCAAAATATGGGCAGCATTCTCCCTCTGGAACAAAATAATAATAAAAAAAAAATGTTTGTTTTACTCAGTTGTTTTAAATCAAACAAGTATTTGTTTGAGTAAGATTAACATTTTAAAATACATTTATAACCAACTGACAATACTCCCAATTTCAAATAAAATATATCGTTTGGAGTATTTATACGCAGAACATGATAAATTGTCAAAATAAAAGTTCATATTCAGTCCTTAAATTATGCAAAGAAATTATTTTTTTAAAAAGTCACAAAACCCTGATGTGTCTTGGCTTCTCCACAAGTTGTTGTCGGGAAACTTTTTATCTCTCTTGAAGCAAAAGTTCAATCAGAAGCTCAGTTTGAGGTCTTTTTTTTTTTTTTTTAATTAAACTTTTATTTTACCAGGAAGAAATCCATTGAGATTATTAATCTATTTTACAAGGATGTCCTGGGCAGTAAGCAAATACAGCAACACACTCTTAAAAACGTAACAGTATTAAAATATTTACAACAAAACATCTGTTAATAAAACATAAAATACAATGCAAGTAAAAAAAATTAAAATAGAAAATCCAATTTAAGACACTTAAACTTTACAGGTGCAAGATGTGACTTAAACCTCAGACATTTTTTGTTTAAAACTAGTTAAAGGAATAAAAGACTCCAACCTCAATTTAAGCTGCACATCATTCCAAGACCAAGGGCCAAAACAGGACAAACGTCATTGCTTCAAACGCCCATCGTCTTCTTGATCACATTCCAAAGGTTTTCAACAGGATCCAGATCTGAAGGGACTGGCCATGACCGGGTCCGGCTCTGATGGTCCTTCAGCCCCATCTGAACCCCAGACCTCGCTGTACCTCTCTGCCAGTAAATCAAAGACAAAAACTAAATTTATTTGCCATGCAGGACAGCACTGGCTTTTAGACTTTTCCTTTTTAATTATTAAAGATTTGGTTCAAGCGGTCACCTAATCAGTGCCTCGTTAGGTACGATGAGTATTTGTGCTGAAACTCATTCAGGAATAGAAGGACTATCACACGTGGAGAAGCTGATTTCAGAAAATGTAGCAGTGGTCTCTCAGTGTGTTTCAGAGCTGCAGGTGTCTCTACATTTTGTTGTGCTTGTCATTTTAGTGGACTAACAACCAAATCGCGCTTAAATAAGCACTTACTCATCTTGATCAGCCAATCAGAACAGTCTGTTTCATCTCCACTAAGTTAATGTTCAAACTTCTTGAACTAACTTTATAAACATTGAGTTTCCAGCAATCTTTGCAGCAGTGTTCACGTTGACCTGTTGACTAATTATCCTGAGCCTTTAGAAACACTGACTGTTGTAAATGAATGAAGGTTTGCAGTAAAAACCACACAAACTTTGTGACATGACATATTCCAAAGCACTGAAACTGATCAAAAAACAAGACTTTTACTGTGGTTTGTCTTTTTGTATTCACTATAAGATTTAGTAAATTTGACGTTTGTGTCATTCTTTCTCAGCCTTGATGTTTCTCCTTGGCTTTGATGATCAGCTCATTTTGGCAAAAACCTAAAGCAAAGATGAAAGGAGGAGGAACGGACCTAACTTTGGCTGGATGCTCAGACACAGCTCCAGCTGAATGTTAATGTTCCTCTGTGCGCAGCTTTAGTTTCAAAGTTGAACATCAACTTTAAACTAGAGGCAAACAAGCTGAGCAAGTGCAGGAAGCAATGGTATCCACGATCAGGTGCAATGGCAAAACCAGGGGGTTGTCAGCGGTGGCCTTGGCCACCATGAATTAATCTTTGGCTACCCCAATCTTTTGAGGAAACTATACCTTAAAGCAAAATAAAACTAGAAATAATTAATCTTCAAATGAATGAAGTGATCGGTTTATGTATAAATATGGCGGCAGACATCTTGGTGTTAACGTGGCATCACAATTTTCAATACGGCCCTTTCTCATGCTTAGATGCAG